TGAATCAGTTATTTTTTTTTTAATTTGGAATCAAAATTTTCATTAAAGCAATATAAATTTAATCATTTAAACTCTTAACTCACTTTAATTATAGAATCACCTGATTTGAATAGGGAAGAAATAATCTAATTTAGAATTATTTAAATAGTTGATGATAAAAATTTAAATTATTTAAACTTATAATAATTAAATTTTAAATTTGTTTGAGGGTTTCATTGGTTCACCCAAATTTTAATAGGATTGGATAAAAGTTTTAAACCTGAAACGATAATATTAAATAAATGAATTAAGCCTCACGCCAAACCTCATCTCTTAAAAACTTCAACCCGACTTCTTGTGTCTTAACTCGACTTCTTGTGTTGAGAGGCTAGTTAGAAAATTAATTAGGGAGTTAGTTTGTTAGCAGCAGTTTAGTGGTTAATTAGTGTATATAAATATATTAGTTGACTGTACATAATACAGAATGAAGAGTAAAAAATCAATATTCTTTCATATAGCTCTTACTTTATGTTCTTCATTTATGTTATTATCTAAATGTTTACATGGTATCGGAGCCATCGCCGACGGTTGTTTCCGGTCAATTTGTTGTTGATAAGTTGATTTAGTTGTTGTTTTTTCCGATATGGTTTTCTTGTTTTTGTACAATCATGGTTCAACCGGAGACGACTCATATTGACTACAATCATCCTCTCTATCTTCATCCTTCGGATACGCCAGGAACGTTGCTCGTTTCTCATCAACTAACTGGCGTGGAAACTTACAATCTATGGAGCAGATCTATGTGCATTGCCTGCTAGCAAAAAACAAAATTTGATTCATTGATGGAACATGTTCTTGTGAAAGTCTTTCTTCAAATCTTTTGGCACAGTGGGAGCGTTGCAATGCTATTATCCTTTCGTGGATTTTGAACACGGCTACAAGATCTTTCTACGGGGATAGTCTTTGCTTCGAATGCATTGCATGTTTGGGAAGATCTTTAAGAACGCTTTGACAAAATTGATTGTTCATGTGTTTATTTTTTGCATAGGGAAATTGTTTCTCATTCTCAAGGTACATCTTCTATTTCGGTTTATTATACCCGCTTTTGTTTGCTCTTGTACGAATATGATGATATTGGCCCTTTCGTTGTATGCAATTGTGAGGTTTCTCGGCAGAATACTAAACATGTTCATCAACAACAACTTTTTCATTTTCTTATGGGTTTGAATGATTCTTATTCTATGGTGCATAGTCATATATTGTTGTTAAAATCATTACCTTATGTAAATCAAGCATATTCTATGTTTGTTCAAGAGGAAGGTCAACGTCAAAATACAGGAAGGTTAGCTAGTATTCTAGAACCTACTGCACTTTATTCTAGCACTCAGGTCAAGAAACGTTTCCATGGAGTGGGTTATTATTTTTATATCAAAGGGCATAAGAAGGAAACATGCTACAAGTTGATTGGTTATCTAGCTGATTACAAGTTTAAAAAGCGTAAGGGATTTGTTGCTAACATTGTTGTGTTGACTAATGAAGGAGAATCAACCTCTTCCTTGGCTGAAAATTCTATTCCTGCTAAGGTTCCTAGTTTTACACGTGAACAATATCAGCAAATTCTTGAGTTGTTGGGAAAGGATCCACTTGTGCAAGCTGCAGCACATATGACTGGTATTCGTTTTGTTAATTTGCATCATGATTGGATTATAGATATTGGTGCTACGAATCGTATGACATTTGATCTTGAGCAGTTGAGTTCTTATGTTGCTTGTGACTCCTCTTCGTTCATTCAATTGCCAAATGGTAAAACCACCCAGATAGCCCATAAAGGAACTTATGCTTTTTCTCCTACTCAAACGTTGACCAATGTTTTGCATGTACCAGATTTTCATTACAATTTGTTGTCTGTATCGCAACTAATCAAAGAACTTAAGCGTTGCTTAGTCTTTTATCCGCATTTTTGCCTTATACGGGACCTTTGCAGTGGAGAGAGATGAAGGGGATTGGTAGATCTCACGACGGTCTTTACATCTTAAAGTCATCATCTAGCTCGTCGGTTTGTCCTGCCGTTTCCAGCACAGATTTTTGCTTGTCTTCTACGTTGTTAAATTCCGATAATGGTGTACTGTGGCATGCACGACTTGGGCGCACCTCTTTGAGTACTTTGAATAAAATGTCTCAGTTAAATAACAATTTGTCTAATGTTGATCATGTTAAAAGTTGTGGTGTTTGTCCACTTGCTAAACAAACTCGTTTACCATTTCCTGTGAGTGATTCTCATGAGTCTACTTTTTTTTCTCTTATTCACATTGATCTCTGGGGAGCATATCGTATTTCAACGCATAGTGGACATAAGTATTTTTTAACTATTGTCGATGATCATACGCGTATGACATGTGTGTTTTTACTTAGGCTTAAAAGTGATGCGTTTGTTACCCTTAAACATTTTTTGCCTATGTTGACAACTATTTTTCTGGTAAAATAAAAATTGTGAGAAGTGTTAATGGTTGGGAATTTTTTAGTAATGAATGCAGTGATTTCTTTTCTTCTCAAGAGGTTGTTCATCAAAGTTCATGTATCCATACACCCCAATAAAACGGGGTTGCTAATAAAAAACACCAGCATTTGCTTAACGTTGCTCGTGCCCTTAAGTTTCAATCTTTTGTTCCAACTAAATTCTGGGGTGAGTGTATTCAAATTGCTTGTTACATAATAAATATGTTGCCAACCAGGGTTCTTCAATGGACAACACCGTTTCAAATGCTTCATAGGCAGGTGCCTAGTCTTTCACATCTTCGAGTATTCGAGTGCATTTGTTATGCCACAGTCCCTAACAATCATGATAAATTTTTCTTTTAGGTATGTTCCTTCGATTTTTATGGGGTATTCGTTGGTGTAGAAGGGTTATGTCCTTCTTAATTTGAGTTCTAAATCTTCTTTTGTTAATCATGATGTGGTGTTTCATGAGTCTATAATTCCTTTTCATTTTCCAGTTAAAAATCCTCCTTTGTTTCCTATTTCAACCTTGCCTGATGAACTTGATCGTGATTTTTTGCATATCCCTGTTGTTGCGTCGCATGCTCCAAATAATTCACGTGATGAGTCTTCCTTAAATGAGTCTTCATTTGTGCTTGAGTTTCCATGTAACCCTGAAACTACAAATGCTCAAAATATAACACTGGTTCAGCCTGTCTGATTCTTAATTCGTGTCCTTCATCTTCTCGGTTATCAAGTCAACCAGTTGTATCTCGCTCCTCACCTTTGCAACGTTCTACCCGAGTCACTAAACCGCCTTCCTAGTTATCTAATTTTGTTTTTCCTTCTCAATCCTCTTCTTCTACTTCGCTGCAAACAGGTACACGTTCTTTTTCAAATTGTATTTCTTCTTCCCATTTACCTTTACAAACACAAGCTTTCATTGCTTCTTCAATATCTTTAGTTAAACCTAAAACTTACCATGAGCCAGTTCGTGATGAACGCTGGGTAGAGGCTATGCAACATGAAATTCATGCTCTAGAGGCAAATGGTACTTGGACAGTGGTTGATTTTCCCCTGGATAAAAGACCCATTAGATGCAAAATGGGTATATCGGATCAAATATAATTTTGATAGCTCGGTTGAAAGGTTTGAAGCGTGGTTAGTTGCTAAAGGGTATAGTCAATGTGAAGGTGTTAACTTCCATGATACTTTTTCACCTGTTGTAAAACAGGTTACTATTCGCACTGTTATTGTCATGGCTGCTATGTTTGGTTGTGAGTTATATCATATGGATGTCTTCAACGCTTTCTTGCAATGAGACCTTCATTAAGAGGTTTATATGACGCTACCATATGGTTTTCGCAACCATGGGGAGTCTCGAGTATACGGGTTGCTCAAATCATTGTATGGTCTGACGGAGGCATATCACCAATGGAACTTAAAGTTGACTAAAGCTCTTACTACCAATGGTTATGTGCAAAGCCTGCATTATTACTCGTTGTTTACGAAACGAGAGGGTGAAAAATTAGTGATAATGTTGATTTACGTGGATGATCTCTTAATCACGGGCAATGATAGTGGGATAATAGAAGATTTGAAAAACATCTTTCACAAGAATTTCAAGATGAAAGATTTGGGGTAACTCGAGTATTTTTTGGGCATCGAGGTTGTACGAACAACAGAAGGGGTCGTTCTAAGTCAACAAAAATATGCTTTGGAGCTTATTGTAGATTCTAGTTTGGGGAATGCACTTAGTGTTTCTACTCTTCTTGAAAAGAATCAAAAGCTTACTTCATCTGCGTATGATATGCAAGTTGAGCACCGTTCTGATGAGCTTTTATAAGATATTCGGATGTATCAAAGATTGATTGGAAGGCTTCTTTACTTAACGCATACGTCAAATGTGTTCATCTTAATCAGTTATATCTTCAAGAATTAGCAGGGAAAGAAATCCAGAGGCATTTTTGTTTTCAGTCAAAAGTAAGCCCAACTTGGTTACGTTTTGTGATTCTGATTGGGTTGCTTGCCTGATGTCGAGGCGTTCTGTTATTGGCTATTGTGTTAAGCTAGGAGACTCTCATTTACTGGAAATCTAAGAAGCATAGTACAATCTCACGGTCATCAGCTAAGGCTGAATACTCGTGTATGTCATCTATTGTAGCTGATCTAGTTTGGTTGAGAAGATTGACTAAGGAACTAGGAATTGAGCATCATGAGCCAACAACGTTGTATTGTGATAATCAAGCCACACTCTACATTGTTGCAAATCCGGTGTATCATGAAAGAACGAAGAGTATTGAGTTCGATTGTAACTTTATTCGTGAGCAGATACAAAAGGGAGTTGTTTGTACCAAACATGTTTCAACTAAAGATCAGCAGGCTGATATTTTCACAAAAAGCTTATGGTCAAACCAACATGAACGATTGAAGGTCAAGTTGGGAATAAAAGACATGAATCATTCTCCAACTTGAGGGGGAGTGTTGAGAGGCTAGTTAGCAAACTAGTTAGGGAGTTAGTTTGTTAACAGCAGTTTAGTGGTTAATTAGTGTATATAAATATATTAGTTGAGTGTACATAATACAGAATGAAAAGTAAAAATCAATATTCTTTCATATAGCTCTTACTTCTTCTTCATTTGTGCTATTATCTAAATGTTGACATCTTGCGACTGAGTTTTCCATGCAGGAGGGTCGCCGATCACAGAGGTGACCAAAACGGCAACAACAACAACAAAACCTACAGGAAAAATTCCAAAAGAGTTAGAACTTTGGATGAAAAAATAACAGAAGAAAAAATATGGACAAAATCTTGGAGCGATATAGTAGCCGACTCACCCAGCTTTAAGGGCATGTTCCAAAGTTTAAGTAGAATTGAAGAAGAGGTTTACGAATCAGAGGATGAGGAAGAACCATAAGAAGATGGCGTACCAACAATAAAGATTTCACAAGAATTAAAGAATAAGATCAGAAAACCCTAGCAAAAAAAAAAGCCTTAATAATCAAGTTACTGGTAAAGACCATAAACTACAAAATTCTGCTAAACAGGATAACTACAATGTGGAATATGGAAAGTGTCTTTGACTACATCGACCTTGGAAACGGGTTTTATGCCGTGAAATTTCAAAGCGCAAAAGATAGAATCAAACTGATAACAGAAGGAATTAGATGATACTAATACAATAAATGATACTAATACAACACTTATGGCAATGGAGAAGGAATTAGATATCCCCGGAAATGTAATGGAAATTGATGTCAATGCACACAAAATGATATTGAAAAGAGAAGTGACAATAACATAAAGAAATTTTTGGCTACCCAAAGACAGATTGGGAAAGGAAACAGAACAGGAGAAAGTCCGAAGGCTGCCCATAACTATTCGACGCCTCAAAATACTGCCAAAATTACCAATATTGGAAGTAAAAAATCAAACAGAAAAGGTAAAGACACAAACTCTCTGAAAAAGGATATCGAATTTCAAAAGAACAATAACAGTGCTTACCAACTCAAGTTACAAACGACTGAGAATATAAACAAGGAAACTTACCAGAGAACCAGTGATGAAGTGGGATGCTCGAAAGACCATGAGATAATAGCCATGGAAGAAACAACTAATATCCAAGAAATACAAGAGTATTCTCCTGCTGCCAGGAAATTAATTCAACAAATACTAAACAATTATGAAGATAGTTTCTTGGAATTGTAGAGAAGTGGGAAACAATGATTTCATCAGAAATTGTAAGGAAATTATAGAGGCAAAAAAACCTTCGATAATTAGCCTTTTGGAAACAAAATCACAAGTGGGAATGGGAGAGTCGATTAGGAAAAAATTAGGTTTTGAAATTTTTTTTGAAGTACCTACTCAAGGAAGACTAGAGGAATTATTCTTTTATAGAACTCGTGTGAAGTAAAAATCAAAATTTGCTATAATACTGATCAAACTATCCATTGTGAATTGAATGAAGATGAGAAAAGTTGGTTTACTTCGTTTGTCTATGTTCAACCACACATAAATAAAAAAGAGGAATGTTGGATGGACTTGGGAAATTACGCGGATGCTATGAACAGACCCCAGAGTGTGATAGGTGATTTTAACGACATTGCTTCGGTTGATGACAGGTTTGAGAGTAATGCTGACTGTATTGAGCGTATCATCAAATTCCGTGAACATTTGGACAAATGTAACCTTCTGGATGTTGGTTGGATAGGTAACATATACACTTGGGTTAGAAAATACCAGGGTAAGGTGATTCTCCAAGAGCGATTAGACAGGACCTTATACAACACTGACATGATGGATTTCTTCCCAAATTTACAAGTTATGGTCCTTCCAAGGCACTATTCTGATCATCATCCTATCTTAATTGATACTAATACGGCCTGCACTTTTTCCAAATAAAAAAGGCTTTTCTGTTTTGAAGATTTTTGGAAAACGCACTTGAAGTTTAATGAAGTGTTTAACAAAGCCTGGATCAGCAAAAAAGAGTCGATTGTGGAAGCAATTGAAGAGACGACTAAGCAGATTAAGAATTGGAAGAATTCAGCCTTTGAGAACATATTCAAACATAAGCATACGTTAAGAAACCGTTTAGATGGCATTCAAAAGTCCCCGTATTATTTGAGTTCTAGACGACTTCAGGATCTTGAAAAGAAGCAAAATGAGGAGTACCAAAAGATCTTAAACCAAGAAGAATTCATGTTGCTGCAAAAACCGAGATTGGATTGGGTGCTGAAAGGAGAAAGAAATACCAAATTTTTTCATCTCACCAGTAAAGTTGGAAGTAAATGCAACAAAATTTCTGGGTTGATCATTGATGATACATGGTGCTCGGACAAAGAGAGTCTAAGCAAACATGTTGTAGATTACTACAATAAGTTGTTTGAACAAAAAGAAGCTGATGAACTTAAAGAGCCATATGTAAAGCTTAAACCTTCCCTAACCGAAGAAGGAAAAACAACGCTAAACAGAGAAGTTTCAATTGAGGAAGTGAAAGCTGTTGTTTTTTCCATGAAAAGTTTAAAAGCGCCTGGGCCAGACGGAATTCAACCAGTCATTTATAAAAACAATTAGGATACTGTCAAAGAAACATTATGGAACTTTGTTAGATCAACTATGACTTCTGGGGTGGTTGACACTGAAATCCTTAAGGTGTATATAGTGTTTATCCCTAAGAGGGAGGTGGCTAACAATCTTACTCTTTACAGGCCTATAAGCCTGTTTAATACTTCTTACAAAGTTTTAACCAAATTCCTGTTTGATCGTATCAGGCCCATCCTTCAAAGAATTATAGGTCCCTTCCAAAACATTTTTCTTCTGGGAAGGGGTACCTCTAAAAATATCTTGGTGGTTCAAGAAGCAGTTCATACTCTCATAAACTTTCAAGGGAAAAAAGGAGCAGCTATCATGAAAATCGATTTAAAAAAAAACTTCTGATAAAGTGAGCTGGAGCTTCCTAAAAAAGACACTTCAAAAGTTCGAATTTCCGAAAAAATTATCAATATTATAATGTTCTGCATTTAACCAAGTAGCATCAATCCCTTATGGAATGGAGAAAAAATGGAGTACTTTAATCCTAGACAATGCCTAAGATAGGGAGATCCTTTATCCCCATATTTGTTTATTCTTGTTATGGAACGTTTTTCACAACTGATATTAGAAAAAGTTGATAGAGGTACTTGGAAAGTTATTCAATTAGCAAGGGGGAACTAAAATTAGCCAACTTTTTTTTTTTGCAAACGATCTCCTATTATTCCTCGAAGCCAAAGTGGACCAAGTCATGGTTGTTCATGAGTGTTTAAAAGAATTCAGTAAGGCTTCAAGACTCGAAGTTAACTTTCAAAAATCAAAGATGTTCATTTCTCCCAACGTGAATGAGGAGACTGCAACTCAATTATGTCAGATCAGTGAAATTCCTAAAACAAACAATTTGGGGGTCTATCGAGGAGTTCCCATTATTCATAAAAGAACAAACTCAGAAACGTACACGCCTTTAATAGAGAAAATGCTGAAGAAGTTAGAAGGATGGAAAGGAAAGGTTCTATCTCTAGCAGGACGGCGAACACTCATATAGTCGGTTACCTCAGCAATGTATATCCATACAATACAGACAACCATCCTCCAAAATGCAACTTGCAACAAATTGGACAACATTAATCGCAACTTCCTTTGGGGCGGTGGACCAGGTTAAGAATCATTTGGTAAGTTGGGATATAGTGTGTAGATCAAAGTTAACAGGAGGCTTAGGAATACGAAAAACCAGACACATGAATCTCGTCCTGATGGCCAAAAATGGGTGGAGATTGTTTAAAGAAAATGATACTCTTTGGTGCGGAAATTTTAGGGAGAAATACCTTAAACAAAGAAAGTTCCTGAATATGGAAACCCGAGACAATAGCTTGTCTACTCGGAGAGGGATGCTAAAGACCAGACACATTATCCAGAAAGGGTGCAGATACTACATAAGATCTGACAAACAAACAAGGTTTTGGCATGATTGGTGGACAGGGAAAGCAGATCTTACAAACGATTATCCAAAATGAGAAAATTACAGAAGTGATAAAGTAGAAAATTTTATCAAGGAGAATAAAGACTGGGACATAGACAAGCTTCAGAACCTGGTTACACAAGGCATAATTGACCAAATTAGGAGCGTACCTATTTCGTTAACAACACAACTAGAGGAAGATGATGTTATTAGCTGGGGTTATTCAAAGGATGGAAAATTTACAGTGAAATTCGCTTACAAAAAGGTCATTAGTACAAAAACGGAAGAACAACAAAATGAAAAAATTCGGAAGGGTGTGGAGCATTGATACAACAGAACGAATTAGAATGTTCGTTTGGCTATGCTACCTTTATAGATTAAACACAAATGAGCTGAGAATGAGGAAATAGATGACTCAGAATTCGAAATGCAACCACTGCCAGGGAATAACAGAGTCTATTGAACACATCCTAAGGGAATGGCCAATTGCAAAATCGGTATGGAATGGATTTGATACAAATAGCATAGATAACCAGATTCAATCAAGAACTTTCAAAGACTGGCTAAAAATTAATTGTCGCTCACAAAAATTAGGGCTCGAAGGAATCCCATGGGGAACTATTTTTTCATCGATTCTGTGGGGATTATGGAAAGGTAGAAATGACCAAGTCTTCAATAATGGTACTAGAAATACTAACCAAATCAGATAATATAGTCTTAATTTTTCAAGAAACATTAAAATGGCGTTGGAAAGTTCACATACCAGAATTTTTAAGGAACCCAGGTGGGTGAAATGGAGACGACCACCAAGGGGCTATTGGATCTTAGACTCAGATGGTGCTTGTAAAACAAATTCTGGTTACGCGACGGCGGAACTCAGACGGTGGGATCTTAAACTCAGACGAGGAAGGTAACTGGGTTCATGGATTCATGATAAATATTGGAAAATCAACTAGTACCATGGCCGAAATTTGGGGACTCCGTCAAGAATTACTGCTAGCAAAATCTCTGGGTGCAAAGAAAATCATAGTTGAAGTAGATGCGAAGTGGATGATTGAAACCATAAACAGGGAAAGTTTGGACGATGTTCAAAAAAATGGTGATTTTTAGAGATTGCGAAATCTAAAAAAAAAGGAAGAAGGTTGGGTCCTAGAAATCAAGCATACCTGGAGGGAAGGTAACTGCTGTGCAGATCGATTGACAAATCTTGCCTTCGATAAGGAGGAAGACGTTCACACTTTAGCCAAATCACCGAAAGAAATAGAAAGTCTACTCAGGGCAGACAGATTAGGTCTTGAAACTTTAAGATGGTAAGCTACTAAACATAGTCGTTTAGTCATATGTACCAGAAAAAATGAATTAAGCTCACTCAAAATTTGGTTTGAACTTTAGCTCCAATTTTAAAGGATCCAGTAATCCAACCTACTTAAAAAAAAGGGAAAATAGATTGTTGTAATACGAGACATTAGCATTGACTGGAAAACATTAAATAAAATATTTAAATTGAATGATCGTGTCGTCACTACGATGGACGAATGGTCTCTCGAGGTTAGCACGACTATCCAAATTTGTACACCCAAAAAGTGAAGTGGACTTTGGTAGTACTACTCTTCTCTCGAAACTCAAAATTAGAACTTAGAAACATCATAAAAACACTATGAAGAATAAGAGTTTTTTAAAAAAATATTTGCTTGGGATGATGTAAAATAAGAATACTTGCCCACTATTTATAAGCTAAATAGTGAGGATAATAATGTCTTTCCGTACAACAACATTAAAATGCTATTTAAAACAAATTCAATAGCATTAAAAATGTTATTAATTTTGAGCATAAACAACATTCTCCACTAATGCAAAAGAATTCTTTTGTAAAAAATGAGAGCATTGAAGTTCAATACGAGAAGAGCAATAGAGAGATTAGTTGCTTAAGCACTAATGAACGTATCTGAAACTAGTACATAGTGATGATGAGTAATTATTCTCTTAAATAAGTGAACGAATCTTGAACTTTTTAAGACCAGGGTAAACTCATAACACACAACTTACCCCTTCATCCACCGAAGTTCTCAATGTGTCTCTAAAATATATATACGAATGTATATATATAACCATCTTTCCTCAGGATTCTAGTAAGTATACTAGAAAAACAATCCAACATTTTTCTTAGAATGTGGCTAATCCTTCTCATTTATATAGGTTATTTTATCATGTTTATCTCAACATAAACCACACAAATATGGGCTATGAAATAATTAAGAGCTTTTTTAATGCAACTCATCCTCTTCGAGTTCATATTAAACGAACCACTCAAACTCTAGAATAAGAAATAATTAAGAATAAATATTCAGACTCATTAATCAGTGAATTCAATATATCCTTCTCGCTAGGAACACCCAAACTCTTAGGTTTGAATTTAGTAAGAGTTTTAATAAAACTCATCCTCTCTAACTGTAAATTCATCTAGTCCTTTGCGATTAAGACTACCCACTCAACTTTAGGTTATAAACTTATTAAGAATATATATTCAAGTCTTTCTCACTAAAACACCCAAAATCTTGGCTATGGATTTACTAAGAGCAATTAAGTTCATCATGTGCATGTACATTATTTGTGATAGGGATAGATAGGTAGAAATGTACACTATGAGTCTTTCTATAGTTTCTTTTGACCGTATTGAACTTAGATAACTAAGTTGGGTATCCACCATGAATTCCTCAACCAATGGGCTTCAGACCCATCGTCCTCGATGAATCGAGAAGCAATTTGTGACTCTAATCTTTGGTAAGCGGATCCACTAGATTCATTTCTCGCTTTGATCATCATTTAATACATCCCCACATTTCTAATATTTTAGGATATAAATAAATCCAAAGTGTCTTAAACAATGTGTAAATAAATTATCTTACACACATATTCAATCATACTAGAGTAATGTTTGTTATCAATTTTAACCATAAAATTATGCTTTAACAAACTCAAATTTTGTTTGCATATATTATATTCTCAAAAGTTTGTGAAGTTACTAATCATTAAGATTAGTATTCATAATCTCGAATGCTCATGACATTCTTTATATCATATTTTAGTCCTCCATGACTTTGTTCATTCAAAAGGAATTTCATTTTTTCCTAAAAGTGTTTAGGAAATAATGAATATTGTGAGGAGTTTTCAATTTTTCCTAATAATAGAAAAATTATTTCAAGTTTACTACAATAAATTTTAACAAACTCCTTAAATAAACCATATCTTTTCTTTCATCTACTTAGGAAAAGTACTCAAAGAGATTTAATAGCTACAACCAACTTTTAGTAGTAGTTTTTATCACCTTTTCATTCATAATATTCAATATATTAGCCTTAAAGAGGTTATCACATATTTTATTTACTATGACTAAATTTGGTATTCTACTCTATCAATTTAATCTCCACTCTTTTAACTTCTGCACTAAGTTTAAAGAGTTCTTATTTTGTCATAGTATTTTATAAATTAGAACAGTGAGCATAGTAATGAATAATGCACCAAGTAGGTTTCTATTAAAGAGAGGTGGTGTACTATGCACTCTTAAATATCATGTCTTTCATAGAACCAATCCTAAACATGCACTTTTATACTTATCACACTACTTCCCAAAATCATTTATGAATTATTTCTTTCTTTAATTAAGGTCTCTTAAAGAATTATGCTTGACACATTTACTCAAAATAGTATCTTATTAAGTATACACATTTTGTGCTCCTACTGCCATAGTCTTAGTCTTAGCCGTAGTCCTTTTACTAGTGATCTATTTCAGTACATAGTATATCCACCAAGTTTTAAAGGCTAGATTAAAAAAGCTTATTTAATCTAATTCATGTATCATTCTAAGAATAAATTAATATTGAACAAGTCTAAATAATTTGATCTCACAGGTAGAATTATAAATCCCAAACAGACTTGTTCATTGTCACCATGTGTACAACTTCATTCTTCGCATCATCATCTTTAACCAGAAAGGCCCAAAATTTAACATGACAGTCACTTCATTCAAATTAGCATCTCTTTTAAATTTGTTAATTTTACACCCAAATGAAGGTTTTAAATTTTTAGTCTAAAAATGATTTACCAACATTAATAGATAATTAATAGTAATAAATTCGTATCTTTTGAACTATTTCTCTTCATTCCAACTTTATCATTTCTACCTTCAACTCAAAATAATCTTTTACAACCCAATTTCTAACTGTCATTACCTTTATAAATTTCTCAAAAAAATAATTCACAATTATTTTTACCTTAATTTTCGGGAGCTAAATAAGTTTTACTTCACATGAGAACAAATAGTGCAGTTCATCAATAAGCATGTAAATACTATTTACTGCCAAACTTTAGAAATTTTGACCATAAAAAATTAATCTAGTGTTCTCAAACTAGATATCAGTAAATTCATTTTAAACATGATTTAAAATGTTTTAAAGTATGAATCATAATATAAATAATTATTTAAAAGCTATAAATACATTTTAAAGCCAATTAAGGCTACAAAAGAAATGAACGATGTTTCAATGACAAACAATGAACTTTTATCATAAATCACTAAGAATCGTACCTTTTGCACTTCAGAATTTAATGACAATTTGGATAATATGATCATCACATTCAAAACATGTAATAATAAACAATCCATTAACATGCCTTTTAATCAATAGTTATAGGCATTAAAAACTACACTATAAAATTATAAGTTATAACATGTCTTTCAAAAAAGTATAAAAAGCAAGATTAATAATGCTATAATAAATTTTAAAGTATATGGCATTAATCTCATGCATTTCTTAATCAGAGCATTAATATGTATTAAACTCATGTATTTCTGCATTAACGTTAAATGGTCATTGATTTCTTCAATTTAAATCACAAATTGAATTCCAATTATAGTGGTTTCATCATTTTCATTTCCTTATTTCAAATACAACACCGATTATAGTATCTTTAAAAAAATGTTTCTTCAAAAAGAAAAGGTGCTATAATTTGCAAATTTAAAATGTTTAAACATTTAATTATAGACGTTATATTTTTTAATAAATAAATACGACAAATATTAACACGTTTATAATCATAATAAATGTTAAAATATTTAATGATAACAATTGCTAATCCTTTAAATTGTAATCATTAAATTGAATTTGACGACACCTAAAAAAATAATTAACCGTTTGCATAATTATAATAATTATAATGCAAAAAGACAAACAGAGAATAACTTAAGTCAATTTCAAATCTTTTAAAGAACTAGACATTTGAATATAAAAATTCATAAAGCATTTATATGCAATAACTCATATCGTTTTATGCTTTAAATTCATAGAGTATGCAATTTATGTTATACTAGTACACTTGGGTATAAAAAATATGCTTCCAATCACTATATTAATATTTTAGTATTATTTTCTTATAACCGAATGTAGATTGAGACCATCGTAAGTCTACTAAGAGATAAAGTATTGACATAAACATACAAGATATATCTTTTCCGAACCGCCTTTGCAATAATTTGAATTCGCTTTTAAATTGTTGGAAAATAGATTGATGAAGTACGAGACGTTAGTATTGATGGGAAAATCTTAAATAAAATAATTAAATGGAACGATAATCGTGTCGTGATAATCCACTATCTTAGAAGCGAATTGGCCGATGTGTGTAATCTCTATAATGGACGAATGGTCCTCCGATATTAGCATGACTCTACAAATTTGTACACCAAAAAAGTAGAGTGGACTTTGGTGGTACTAGACTACTTTTCTCTCGAAATTTTGAATTAGGACTCATAAACATCATGAAAGCACTACGAAGAAGGTGAGTGTTTCAAAGCAAATATTTGCTTAGGATGATGTAAAATGAGAAGACTTACCCACTATTTATAAGCTAAATAGTGAGGGAAAAAACATCTTTTCATACAACATCATTAAAATTGTATTAAAATTGTGATTAATTCTGAGCATTAACAACAGGGTGACGATTATCAAAATGATCACAAAATGAGTTGAACATTAACATATTGACTAAGATATGATAGTTTTTAAGTTAAATAATTGGTTTGTTAAGTCTATTGACTATTAAAAGTTACAAAATGATTACTCGACTATTCATATGCTTCAAACTTGTTATTCTTTCATTAAAAATTAACGATCTTTTGAGCTAGACATTAACATGTTGACTATGATATGATAGTTTTTTTTATATATTTTATCATATTTCAGTCAACATATTGACATACAACTTGGATTACAATTAATTTTTAATGGAAAAGAATAATATTGGAATATATGAATTAACGGGTGACCATTTTATAAT